GTTCGAACTCACCCAACACTCCACAGGAGAAAGTTAAGGCAGTCTGCTTCTGTAAAGATTTACAGCCTTGGAGACCCTAAGACACAGTTCTACTATGTCCTATAGAGTGGCTATGAGTCAGAGTCAACTTGACAGCAGTGGGTTTGATTTTTTTGGTTTTGGTTCAGAATAGTTGGTTAAACTCTTGGTTGCCAACTAAAAGTCAGTGGTTTGAATCTACCAGAGAAAGATGTGGCAGTCTGCTTCTATAAAAATTTCAGCCTTGAATCCTACAGGGCAATTATTCTCTGTCATATAGGGTTGCTATGAGTCTAAATAGATTTGATGCAATGAGGTTTTTTTTTTTGTTTGTTTTTAGGGGTAGGTTCAAAACACTGTTATATAGCAGAGTATGGCCTGGTCTACAGTGAAGTCCGAAGTTATAATGGATAGAAAGTTGAGCAATATTCAGCTCTAACCACATATGACAATTGAAATACATACATGCCTGATAGCCATTACAACTCCAACTTCATTGTTTTGACACTGATGCTGACTTCATTGTAAACCAGGTGTGATCTTATTCAGTGTTTCATACCATAAGAAGCATTAGGTAGGTGTTAATTTGAAAAAACGTATTCAGCTTATATCAGAATCAACTTATGATAGAGTCTTTGGAACAGAAACCCATCATGAATTAGGAAACATGAATATATCCAAACCAACTTGCTGTCGTCAAGTTGGATACAACTCATAGTGACCCCTCCTTGGGTTTCCGAGGCATTATCACTACAGAAGTACATCTTCCTTCTGAGGAGTGCCTGGTGGGTTTGAACTGTTGTCCTTCTGGTTAGCAGTCACATGCCTTATGAACTATGCCACCAGAGCTACTTATGAACACACACACACACACACACATCTTTGTAATGTATAAAATTAAACCTGTTGCTGTGGAGTCAATGCCAGCACTGACTCCTAGTGATCCTACCGGACAGAGTAGACCTGCCCCACAGGGTTTCCAAGGCTGTAAATCTTTATGGAAGCAGACTGCCACATCTTTTTCCTGTAGAGTGGCCAGTAGGTTCTCACCGGTGACCTTCAGGACTCGCTCTACATACACATACACACAAACACACACATACATACGTCATAAATCTGTGATTTACCAGAGTACATGCTTACTGAAATTAATATAGATGTTTGTTGTTGTTGTTGTTGTCGTTATGTGCCGTAGAGTCAAACCCGACTCATACCGACTCCTTCCCTGGGTTTCCGAGGCAGTATCATCTTATTTACAAAACAACAAAAAAAACCTATAAAAGAGTACCCACATTTTCAGAACTCAAAAGTGGCCATAACTAGCTCCAGAAAAAAGCCTCAGGATAGGAAAACAGTGCAATCTAGTGGTTAAATCTGGGGACAAGAGGTGAGGAACACCAGAGGCTACAAAACCTGAGAGAATGTATCTCAACAGCTCAACCTTATGTCCCAAGAGAAAATGTACACACCCGGCTCATGGATGGCAAGGGCGTTGAGACTGATTTAAGCAGCTGTCTTTAGCGATCAACACGGCAGAGCTGTTAAAAAGTGGAATCTGAAGCAGAAAGGCCCAGGTTTAAAACTTGGTTGCATGACCTTAAGGACGGTATTTAACTTGTAATTAAATTGCCTGAGTCTTTTCAAATATAAAGTGGAGATAAAAATATTGGCTACCTAATATGACTACTGAGAACATTGAATGAGATGGCATATATCAAATACTTATTACAGTGCTTGGCATTTAGGGATTACTCAGAATACATAAGCATATTATTAGTATCATTATTTTACTTAGAAAGTAAACAAACAAAATAACTATGGACAATCTTCTTAGAAATCATCTAAAAATAGATAAGAAAATCAATACCAATTACTTATGTTTGTAGAAAATCTAGATATCAAATACTAGCTTTCTTTGAAGTACATGAAAGTAAGTTAAAAAAGTAAAATAGATTCAATATTATATTTCCAACACATTTCAGTTGTAGGACTAGTATTCTTGAAGAAAACACAAAGTAATTTTTAGAAATAAAATTATGAAATTGAACCTTGATATATCATTTTACTCTAAAAATGACCATAATCCTTTGGCAATTAAGAAATTTGTCTTAAACAAATCCTGCATTTTTCAATGTCTGGCCTAAGAAGTACACCTTTATATATATAGTTCTTAAAGATCAAATCCGTTACTTGGATTTCTTTCTTTTTGGTTAGATATGTAAAAGGAAACACAACAGATATACCAACAGAAAAGAATTTTTAAAAAATTCATTAACCCGTTAGATTTATACAGGTGTACATTTTGTCACACTTTGTTTTATTGAGGTTTGCAGACATTGTGTTTTTTACAAATTTAAGGTTTGTGGCCGCCCTGCATCGAAATCTATAGATGTCATTTTTCCAACACTGTGTTATCACTTCATTTCTCTATGTCACATTTTGGTAACTCTCACAATATTTAATACTTTTTCATAATGCTATTGCACACATAATAGACTACCAAATCAAACCAAACTCAATGCTATTAATTTGATTCTGATTCATAGTGACCTCCACTGGGTTTCCAAGGCTGTAAATATTTACAAAAGCAAACTGCCTCACTTTTCTTCCATGGAGCGGCTGATGGGTTTGAACCAAAAACCTTCTAGTTAGCAGCCAGATGCCTCAAACACCACACCATGAGAACTCCTTTAACAGACTATAGAATAGTGTAAATATTATATGTACTGGGAAACCAAAAGCTTTGTATGACTCGCTTTATTGCTGTATTATTTTTGTTGTGGTAGTCTGGAACCAAACCCATAATATCTCTGAGGTATGCCTGTATTAGAAAAAAGAATTTGATTTTTGTGAAATATCTTGCTGTTTAATCTGCTTGCTTAAATATCACAATAGTCTAAAAACTTGGCAGTACACACCAGCATTAGTACTCATCTGCTTTTCTATAATGCTAGAAATATCACGATATATAAGTATTCAAAGTACAGTCATTATACCTCACTTTACTAACATTGTATTCAAAGAAGGAGTGGGTTCCCTAAGGGCAGTATACAAATTTACCTTAAATAATGTTCCCTAAATAATACCTAGAATATTTAGTTTAAATACTGTGAGTATTTAAACAACATGAGAATACCATTATAATCCTATCACAATCATTGTGTTTGGGGATGGTTCTTGTCTTTCGTCTGGGTTGGTTATATATTTAATTTATTATTAATGAAAAATAACCTAAATCTCTATGCATAATCCCCAAAGAAATTTAATGAGAATCAGAACTGAATTATGTTTACAATTGTGACACTAGCTTTGTATTCTTGGGAAGTTTTTAGCTTTTTTGGGTGTCCATTTAGGCACTGAAAAAATAAAAGATTTCTGAGGTCCAGGAAAGCTCTATCATTTATCTTTTTGCCATGCTTTAGTATATCACAATGGCTCTAAATCATATACCCTCCATTAGGAATTACTTAATCCACAGTGAGTTTCTCTGACTTATCCCAATTCTTCTTTCCTATTGTTAGAGTAGCAAAAGGTATAACCAAAACAATAATATAATTGACTGGTAGAAGGAGGCAAAAGACCTATTTAAAATTCTGCCTTATTTATTTATTTATCTTGTCTTTTATTTATTAAGCACTCACTATATATATCTTGGAGCTCTGGTAGCATAGTGGCTAAAGCACTTGACTGCTAACCAGAAGGCTGGCGGTTCAAACCCACCAGCCACTCCTCGGAAGGAAGGTTGGGCAATCCTACTTCCATAGTGATACTGTCTCGGAAACCCAAGGAGGGGTCGCTATGAGTCGGGGCTGACTCGACGGCACATAACAACAATAACAACAATATGTATCTTAAGGAGCTCTGGTGGTATGGTGGTTAATGCATTTGGCTGCTAACCAAAGGGTTGGTGTTCAAACCCACTATAGAAGAAAGATGGGGGAGTTTGCTTCCACAAAGATATACAGCCTTGGAAACACAATGGGGGTCGCTCTGAGTCAGAATCAACTTGATGGCACTGACTACATGTATCTTACTTTGGTCGCTCAGGATCCATCCAGGTATAAAGAGATCATTACTTCATAATTTTTTAGGCTACTCTAGAAATTTGACACATGTTTCTCTATCTAGTCACACTTTAGTACTTCTAGAATTTAACTCATTAGCACCACCAAAAAACTCTTGATTAAAATCTACCAAGTGTTTTTCCATTTATAAATACGGCAAATTTGATGACAATCTTGCTCTGAAAACATGGAAATCAGAACAGACAAATGTGATTGTGACTACTCAAAGTAAGCAGTAGTTCATGATATAGAACTCTGACAGAAAGGTAGCCAAAGTAAATGAACACCAATTATCATGAAATGGCACCCTGAACAGAGGAAGGCAACCACATGAAGTTGGGCAGGAGGGAGTTAGAGAGTTTTGGAGAGTGAGTTTCAGGTAATTATCAGTCCTTAATAATACTTTTTCTTGATTACAAATTCACCTTCTTTTTAGTAATTTTAGTGCATCCTTCCACAACAGTATCACATGAAGCTCATCTAGATTTATGATTTTGCCAAAGTGCTGTCAAAATATTGTACAGTAGCAAAAATAGGCTAACAGAGTCAATATTTTATATTGTATCTTGATATAAAATATTTACTATTTAAAATAGTATTACAAGTACCTATTGCTTCTGAGAGGATATACTAGATAACATTGACCAGAAATGTGTGAAGGTAACTTAAAATAATAATAGTGAACAAAACAGTATTCACTAGAGATATGAAAGAAGAACCTAAGACAATTATTATCAAGACAACAATGTAGGGATGGGAAATATGAGTTCTCAACCTCATAGCCAATATGCACAATCATACATGTTTACCATTTTCGTTATATTCAAACTTGGGAACTTTATGGCAGTGTACTAAAATCAGAGATCAATAGGTTAAGAAGATAAGAAGAATGTGCAATTTAGGAATATAATTTATTACCATGGTTACAAACTTTCAGAACAGGCCTCTGAGAAGTGGGACTGAGACTCTGCTGAATGTCTGTTAAAAAACAAAAAGAAAGAACGAAAGGAACTTAATACAAAAGGTCAGCTCATCTCAAGTACAGCTGTATGAGGCAAACATTTTCCAAGGTTAAATATTTCTAGAAGCAAGGCAATGCTTCAGTACTCCTAAAAATCCTTAATGTACAGTGTTATGACTTTTATTTTCCATTTAATTATGCTACTGTAAACTCTATGGGGATATGGCACACATGATTCTTTAAATGAGACCTGTCACACTAATCAAGATTTTCTAGGTTTAGTGCATTGATGTGTTAATGTGCTGCTGACATCAGCCAACTGGAATGCATACATCTTCGACATTTGTTATTGTGAGGGAAGGATTAAGCAAACTTCTAAAATTTCTGAACACTTGTTGCCCATATAGCATTGCATTCTTGATATGACTTTTAAAAAAATTCAACAATAACAACAACAACAAAAAAGTGTCTTCTCTGTGATTGTTGTTGTTGTTGTTATGTGCCGTCGAGTCAGCCCTGACTCATAGCAACCCCTCCTTGGGTTTCCGAGGCAGTATCACTACGGAAGTAGGATTGCCCAACCTTCCTTCCGAGGAGTGGCTGGTGGATTTGAACCGCCAGCCTTCTGGTTAGCAGTCAAGTGCCTTAGCCACTATGCTACCAGAGCTCCCTTCTCTGTGATAGTGCCCTAGAAAGTAACATGAAACTATTATTCACCTTTCGGCTTTGGTGTCCTTTTTCTTCGGTCGCGGAAAGCAGCCCCCGACTGCAGTGCCTCCAGCAGACTATCCATCACTCCTGTCTCATCACCCTCTGTGAAAAGAGATGCAGGGAATTCTATCAGCCCTCAGGGTTACCATAGCAATGTCAAAGCATACACAGAAACTGGTGCTGGTGATGATGGGGGGGTTGGAGAAAAGATCGGATGCCAGGACTAAACCAGCAATTTCAAAATAAAATAGAACTTTAACTCTCTCATAAATCACCTGTCTTTTAATGAAATCTGTCTCATTAGTACCTGTGTTACCATCCACTAAAGAGGACCTAGTTCCATTGATTCACTTCAAAGTACTGCATTTATAGTCCAGCGGCACAATAATTTTAAATGGAATGTGGTTCTAGCCATATCTGTGTCTCAGGTTATCATAAATCACATTTCCCTTGTAGAAATGGGTTATTTTCAAGGCATCAGCTTCTATTCTAAAATCGACCAAGTGTTAGAGAGTGTTTTTGTTTTTGCTGTTGAGGTTCTGCTGTCTGAACTGATTGTACAATATTACATTTCCACGCTAACTTTCGTGAACATGCTCCCAACAATTGATTTTTCATATCAGAGAGAATAATCGTCCTCTGACTCGAGGTGACACAGAACAAATGCTACAAACTTTGGTAAGATATATGAAAAGTTTGTCTTCTATACAGGAAAATAAACCAAAACATGCTCTCAAAAATCTAAAGAACTGAATCCCATCATTAATTAGTTTAAATTGATATTTTATACGTGATTAATGAAGGATGTGGCTAGTCAATTCTCTCTGTAAATAAGAAATTATTCTTGTAACAGTCATAGCTATTTATAGTCATCAGTGCTAAATAGTATTCAAATGAAGTAGCATATGAAAGAAACTACTGAACAAACACTTATTTAAGGAAATGCCAAGAATTTTTTTGGCCCATATGAAGAGATTAGCTGTAGGCATTACCTATTAAAATAATGTAGGTTTACTATGTAGTTATGTCCAAAGTAAGGGAAAGCTATTTTCCTCTAAATTTTTCTTTTTTTTCTTCTTTTCTGTTTCCTTTCGTAGTAGTTCAGTTTGTGTGTCAACTTGGCTAGGCCTGGTTGAGTGGCTGGGCAGCTGAATGTAGTTATTTCTCATGGTGAGATTGGTAATCCGCTCCATGGTGGAATCTATTGGAGCAGCTGAGTAGCTGCTTTGGGTATGTGTTCAGCTTTGGGAATGGTCTCCAGCTTATGGCACGCTTGGACTCTGCATGTAGCTGTGTCATGTTTCAGCAGCCTGCCATGCTCTGCCGACCTTGAGACTTACAATGGATTTGAATTAATGGCCTGAAGTGTGGTTTGGTAACATCGAGAGTGTGGCATTTTATTTGTCAACTTTTGGCTAGTTAGCCTCAGCAGCCAGTAGCTGCCTGAGTGAAGAGATGCCTCTAACTTCAGTGGGCCTGGAGCAAGAGGCAGAGCTGAAGCCCAAGGTTGAGGGGCTTTCACACAGCCCCTAGGGTCTGGCACTTAGAACTCGGACTTCTAGCCTCCCGAACTGTAAGAGTATAAACTCCTGTTTGTTAAGGCCATCCCATTTGTAGTATATTCTTGTCAGAGTGGCACTAAGTAACCAGAACACCTTTCTTGAGATGCGATCCATTTAGGGAGAACAGTAGATAAACACATGCAGTAAACTCATTTATAGTTTATAAACAAATATATAAATATGTATTGGCCCTGTTTCCATCTGGTCTGCTTCATATTTTTAGAAGAGAACTAAATTTTGTAGTGTTATCAAATAAAGATGAATGAGTAATAGAGTTTTTTTGGAGGTTGTTGACTTACATGTAAATTTAATTCTAAAGTGGTTTGATAGTTATTTTAACTAAAAGACAATAAACACTTCAGACACTTTAATAAGTAATGAAACTCTCTAGCTATCATTGATAACGTACATCTTAATTCAATTATATAAGGCGCTGTGGTGGTGCAATGCCTGAGGTATCTGACTGCTAACCAGAAGGTTGATGGTTCAAACCCTAAAGCTGCTCCATGGAATAAAGATGGGCCAATCTACTTCCATAAAGATTTACCACCTCAGAAACCCAATGGGAGTTGCTATGAGTCAGAATCAACTTGATGGCAGTGAGTTTGGTTTTAACTCAATAATATTTTTCCTAGAAAGAACTCCAGGTAATAGCAAATATTTAAGATAGTAATTTAATCTATTTTATTATAAAAAAGAAATATTTAAAAAAATCATGTATGAGGATAGAAAAAATAAATCAATAAAAACCCTAAAATTGAAATTAAACAGAAATAAATGAACCCAAGTATCATGTTAGTGACATTAACTCTAAAGAAGGGGTAAAAACAGAATTAAGCCAAGGAAATTCTGAATTCCCTTAATGGCCTACACTTTAAAGAAAAATGGAAAAACATAGGAATTATGAACTTTCCCTATAAGTCTGTTATTGGTAGTGATATTGATTTATTGATTGAACCTGCTAATGTGTGCATTATAAGACTGAGCAGATATATAAATACATGGATGTTGTTGGCAATACAGTGCTTATTGTGGGAAAATGAAATATAGTTATGGAACAGGGGAAAGAAAGGAAGAACCATGAAGTATAGAACTGGACTCAAAGATACCAATAGGAGCTTAAAGGTTAAAAACAAACAAATCAAAACAACAAAAAATATTCCTAGCTTTGTGTACCAAGAAAGTCCAGAAACATTGATACCCTGGTAGGAATGAGTACACCTAGCCTTCAGATCTTGGTTTCTACACACCATTATTCACTATAACGAACCAGCACACTTGGGGAATGACTGATCCAGAGGCTAGGGAAGATAAAGTACAAAGTAAGTCAAAAAGCATATTTTTGTGCCAGAAAATAAGAAAGTGCTCTGATACAGATAGGAATGGGTCAAATGAGCAGAGAAGGCAGAACAAAAGGATATCTTGGCTAATTTTAGGACAATACGGACATTAAATAGGTAATGATGGGAATGGATTATCACACATTGAAAACAAAAACATCAATGCCTGCTGAAGTAATGCTGAGATGGATCCAGCATAACTTATGTAGTATTCTACACAAAAACATTTAAACTGAATATAACTGCAGACATGTTTAGGCTCACTGAAAAACTTACATGGTTTATATATTCTCCTCCATGCCTTTCGATTTTCTTTTCTCTCTACAAAGAATTGCATCCCACTTTCTTCCCAAGCTAACTCCTACTTCTCCTTTAAGACATTAAAGGATGCTCCTTTACCCCAATGGCAAGTGGTAGATAACAGCAATGAATCCTTTACAATATTATATTGTTTACTTGATTGTTTTTGCCCTTAGACTATGAGCTTACTGAAGGCAGGGGTTGTGGCTTTCATTTATTTATTTGTAGCACTTAGAAAAATACTAGCATTATGTACATGTTCAAAAAATACATGTTGACTAAATTAATAATGAGGCACTAATATAATCAGTTGTAAGGACTAATCATGGTGAAGAATTAAGACCATATACAGACAGGGGACCAACGTAAACAGCATATCTTCCTTTTCCTTGGTCTCATTTGGTTGCCAAACCTTTTGATTCATATGCTCCAAAATCTCCTGAATTGACTATTGTTCTCGTTTCCCGCTGAAATTTATGTTGATGGTCTAGGACTGAATTATTTTCATTGAAAATACTGTACAAGTTACCTAGATAGTCATTTTGCTTCCTGTTTCTCTTTAATCCAAATTCATCCCACACATTATTTATAGGTAAGTCTGAAAGAAAAATTTTGATCTTCAGTCTTCCAATCACAAATTTTCAAAGTCCCTGTTTCTACCATCTTTAAAAATTGCCAATTTTTCACTTGCCATTCAGTCTGTGACAATGATTCTTACAGTTTTTCCAATCTTCTCTCTTACTTGCAACCATCACAACCTATTCTTAAGCCAAAAGAAACTAACTACCTGTAGTTCTCCACAAACATTTCTGTCTCCTGCATTACTCTCCACCTGGAACTACTATCCTGCTCTTGTCCCTAGAACCAATGTCCCTCCCTTGTCTTTGCTCCCACATGGCATAAGGGAAAGAATACAATGCTAGGAGAAGACCAGAGATCAATCTGAACTCTCAACTAACTATATGATTAACATTAGAGTTGTTACGTAATCATTCTTCACATGTGTAATAGAGATAATTAATACTTATTTAGAGATCGGAGGACCTCTACTCTGGTGGTGTAGTGCCTAAGGCATTTGACTGCTAACCAGAAAGCTGGTGGTTCAAACCCACTAGCCACTCATTGGAAGGAAGGTTGGGCAATTTACTTCTGAAGTGATACTGTCTCAGAAATGCAAGGAGGGGTTGCTATGAGTCAGATCTGACTCGATGGTAGTGAGTTTGGTTTTTAGGAGTTCTGGTAGTGTAGTGCCTAAAGCACCTGACTGCTAACCAGAAGGCTGGCAGTTCAAACCCACCAGCCACTCCTCAGAAAGAAGATGGGGCAATCTACTTCCGTAGTAATACCGCCTCAGAAACCCAAGGAGGGATCATTATGAGTCAGGTCCGACTCGATGGCACATAACAGCAGCAGCAGGGATCAGAGGAGATAATACAAATGAAAGCACTTGGTAAATCATTAAGTGATATAAAAATGTAAGGAAATAAATAAATGGACTCAATAGAGAACTATACTGAACTTATAAAATATCAGCTTATTAGTTAATGTCTCAAGTACTGCTTGAGATACATTATAACTGAAATAAGCCTTTTATTGTATGCTTGATTATATCCTTAGTTAAGGGCATAATCATATATAGTATTATTTCTATGGGAAATTCTGATGTGCAGTACAAACAGACTGCTGAATTAAAAGCAATGTGTAATTTGAGAACATATTTGAGAATGAAGATGTTATTTCAGATGTTAGGACATTCATTCCACACCTGTTTGCTGAAGGTGTACTATGTGCCATTACTAAGAATTGAGGATAACTAGGTCTCAAGGGTTAGGAAGAAATATTTTCTACTTTCAAGAAGTAGAAAGGTGTAATGAGTATGGATAAATATACATGGAGTCAA